GCGACGAGAGAGATTCGCGTCTACTTGTTGCACAATTGCCTTAAAAAAAAAAAGAAATAATAATTTTAACTCGCGACGACACGACGCGATGCGAGGAGCAGAGAGCTTAGAGGGGGAGGAGGGGAGGGGAGTGGGCAGGAGGGGAAGGAAGAAATGATGGCGTTGAGAGGGCATCGATGATGATAATAATAATAATAATAACAACAACAACAATAATAATAGCAATAAGAATAATAATAATATCAGGTCACTGAAAAAACTGAGAGACTGACCTAACCCCAAAAGCAAACCACGGCGGGCTCGGTTGTAAAGCGAGACAGGAACCAAGGTTGCCAATATGCAATTTTCTAGAGGATTGTAATAATTATCTAGATAAGTATATATATATATATATACACATACACACACACACATATATATATATATATACATACTAATATATAAGATATATATATATACATACATATATATACATCTGTATATACACACGTAGAGAAAGAGAAAGAAGACATGTGTAATATACATACAAGAAACGTATCTACGTATCTACGTATCAACAAGAAACAAGAATTAAGGAACGAAAGTTATTATTTTTTTTTTCTCTTTTCTTTTTGATGTAGTTTCTGCTAGATCGCATGCAGAGTTTTTCTTTTTTTTTTTTTCTTCCCGATCTTTTTCTCCGTGTACTCCTCAACGCGTGTATGTATGACGGATGGTGGATAAAAGATGGATAAAGCGTAAATCGTTCGCGGTTCCTCAGTTACCGACGTTCCTCTTTTTCTTTAATTCTAGATTAACCGATTAATTTCTAGCCTACTAGTAAAGAATAGAAAGCGAATAGAAAACGATTTCACCAAGCATCCTATCGAGGGTGCGAATATATATATATGTATATATTACGTTTGATCAATTACTGTGAATGACTGACTCGTTTAAAAGAGTCTAAAAAGAAAAAAAAAAACTCGCACCCTTTTCTTTTCGAACGCGCGTCGCCGAGGTCGATGCGGTGCAAGATAAGAATCAAGCAATATCGAAAAAGTGGCAAAAGTTACATCGATGAGTGTGCTAGGCGCATGCATTGCAAACTTACCTGCTGTGCTGTGTGGATGGATTTCAAAAAACGAATAATATATCGCGCCTCGAAATCGAGGGGCCAATGTTATTTATTTATTTCTTTATTCATTGTTTACACCGTTGAGAGAGAGAGAGAGAGAGAGAGAGTGTGTGAGATGCGAAGAGAGGATAGAGAAATGAACTGGCAACAAAGAATTGGAACGCGAGAAAGAAAAATAATCGTTACATAGAAAAGGATCGAGAAAAAGAAAAAACGAGAGACAGACGAGTAGAGAAAATTTCAAATCCCTTGCGAGAAGGGGAAGGATTCGCGCGATCGAATCCTGATCAAACAAAGACGATGTTAAAGGGATAGATAGATAGATTGGAGAAAGATGAATAATGTTCAGGAATTTTCTTCAGGAATTCATTCAACCTGTTCGTTCAAATAATTCCCTTTTAAACGATATTTTCGATTTCCAAAGAGGTTTCATCTTAAAGAGGAATGGAATTTGAGTACAGAACGCTACTTTCACCTTTTCATTTCTCATTCGATTTTCACCATCATCTTCTCTCGACAAGTTCTCTAATATAGCAGAAAAAAAAAAAAACTATCTGTACAAAGTTCAGAGATCGATCGAACCGTCCCGAAAGTTTCCTCCAAATTTCCTTATTTTGTAACGAATAAAAATCTCCATCTCTATTTTATAATCGCAACGCATATAGAAAATTAATCGTAGACGCTAAGTCGTAGTTGATAGTCCAAGTTATGCAACTTTCGAGATGACCCAACCAACGAGAAATATTGGCAGTCGGTGATCGACTAATCAGTCACCGAGTATAAAATAGACAATGAAAAAAAAAAAAAAAAAAAAAAAAAAAGTTGAACTCGAGTATATTCGAGTGCGTATACAAGCGACACTAAAATCGTTTTCGTGGGCTAACGAAATGGCCGTGTTCGGTGCATTGCAACACAGTACAAAAGCGTGTCGTTTAAAAGGATGCAATAAAAATCATCAAAAAAAAGAGAGAATCGATAACGAGAATAGAAAATGATTATATATATAATTTCGACGGTATTTTTCTTTCTTTTTCATCTTATCCAATTGTATTTCTCGACGATAGACCCCCTAACGATGAGTAGTTGTAACAATATCGTATATCATCGTACAGTTGAAACAGCTTTTTTTTTTTTTCAACGGAATTGAAAAACGGAATCTTCGAAAAACACGACTGTCAAAACTGAACGGTGATACTCGAGAAAATATTTTCAACAATCATTTTGCCTTTACACAATCTTCGAACGATCTAACCTCATTTTCTCTTATTAATTAATTAATTAATTATTCACCTATTCCTTCCTTCCTCGAACGAACCGTTTACCCTACAACTCACCTCTCCAGCTTACTTTGATCGGACACGTGATTGTCTGGTTCTTAATGAGGTATGCGTTCAACGACGTTAGACTAGGACTCTTCCGCAACGTGCCCTCGTCATTCTTCCACACGTACGTGATCGCCGTTTGTTCGTACGATACTGAAAATAAAAAGATGAAGGATTATCGATTATTAATTTAAAACGATAAGAAAAAAGTAATATATACATTTATATATATATATATATATCTGTGCGTTCACTTACTGCTCTCGATCGCAAATGAACACAGTGGGTCATCGAAGGGGAAGATATTGAGTCTACCCTGGCAGGACAGGATGAGATGACGCCTGTGAAGTCGAGACAAAATTTTTAACAACGTTCTACATTACCGACACATCGTTCAACGTAAAAATAAGTAAATAATTACAAATGAAAATAAATCGTATCCTCGAATTACAGAACGTGTTAAAAAAAAAAAAAACGAAGTAAAACGATACCTCATAAGATAGTTGACCGTGCCGTTGCGATATATACGTAGGGCAAAGTGAACTGGTATGAGCGGGTCCTTGAAGTCTCCGTGCATTATGAAGTACGTGTCCGGCAACCAGATGTCATCGTAATGATGAATCGCGTTCAAGAATTCATATTGCGACCGGTTGCTGTATCGTAATCGCGGGTCGTACCATTGTTGTTGCAGCAAGAACTCCACCTCGTATTTCTGTCGATATAAAAACAACAAGGGGGGGATAAATCGTTTATAAATTCGTTTCAACGGTTCCGGTGCACCTCTCGTGTGTCCTAACGATGTAAAAATGTGTCGATCGTTGCGAGCATAGACGCGGGATGAAGTGTTTATCGAGAGAAAAATGTTCAATTACCAAACTGGACTCGTCCGGGGAAGCCAAACTTAGCAACAGCACGCTCACGTTCACGGTCAAGGTTCCTGGAACACAGTGCACCATTGAAATTAAAGTTCACCAGGCGATCTGCTGGTTCGAAGCGGTTCATCAAGAAGAGCACGCTAATTCGAAAGAAAACATTCTTCGGAGGGGAGACATCTCGCGTCGGGAAAGGAATAATTAGAATTAACTTTTTCCAAATTAAAGAAATCATTTGCAAATATCGATATTTATCGGTCGCGAGATTTTCGATTATGAGTAAACTTTTGGAATAAAAGTTTCAATTTTTTAAATTTTCGGTTTAAACTCGACATCTCGATACCGCAATACTTAAAATTTGCTTTGAAATGAAACCACCACTATTTGAAAGGAATGCACAATTTTCAAGTTGAGGTTGAGAATCTATTATTTAAATGTAGAAAATAACCAGTAGAACGTTACAAGACTGCGCATGACGATGTTCTGACAAATTACGTACTTCGTATCTCGACGTTTCTGATTGGTCGATTTGATAGACCAATCACAAACTTCGAAACTTTTATTTCGAAAGAACACGGTTCACACTCGAAAACCGGAACGACATATCGATTTAATTTGTTTGAAGCAGTGGCAAAAAGCAACAAAGAAAAAATAATCTCGATTCTTTCCCTGACTCGAGCGAGTGTGATTTCTAAAAGTACAAATCACGTGGTCGATCAACATGTAGTATTTATCCGACCAATTAAACTCGAACTCAAAAATTAACATATTTTCTTTTCTCTCTCTACGCGAGCGTAAGCCAGATTGCTGTTATTGCGTAAGCGTAATTAGAGCCATGCTGTGCACATGCCGCGACTAAATTCATGTTTCTGTATTTCGTGTGAAAAGCACGCAAACTCGGAGAGTTAGGACTCGAAGAACCGGTCGTCGAAGAGGCGCGACACAACGATGTGACGTTCGATCGAGAAAGAGGATCGCTCGCAACGGATAACGGAAACGGGAAACGGAAACGGAGATGGGATTGGGGACGGAGAGGCGGAAACGATATCGTTGATCGTTGCTGCGATGCTCGAACTGCGCGTTTCAATTTAGCTTAGCCACGTCTGATCGATAATGTAGAATTCGTGAAGTATCCTTCGAGCGAAACGGCCAATTAGCACGTGTGTCACGTGTCTAACGAGTCCCAACCACCGATTCGATAATTTGCCAACACATTCAACTACGAAAAAGAAAGATACGTGAGAGACCGCGAGTGTGTACATGTATGTATGTTTGTGTGTGTGTATGTGTGTATGTATGTGTGTCTATTTAAAGTACGCCGATGTGTGAGATATACGGTGGGTGGAAATATGGAACAAGGATGGAATTATAGTGATTATTCAGAAATCGTATCGACGATCGAGGAACAGTCTGTTGGCACCAGCTATCTTTTCGTCGCCTCGCACCGAATTTACGAAAAATCTTACGAGGAAACATTCGTCTGACCTGATTTTAATGAAAGTCCGTAATATGTCCATGATATGAATTATTATTATTCCTTTCTTTTTTTTTTTTCAATCAAATCTTCGATCCTTTGAACAATTTCTCTTGGAAATACTTTTCTTTTCAACGAGGGTAGAGATTAAAAAAAAAAAAATAACTGACGTTAAAAAATAGAATATTTAAACGAATTGCTGAAGCTATATAATGTATAACGTTACTGCATATTCGCAAAGTTTCGTGTAAATTAGAATTATCCTCGCTTTCGATAAAATGATGCTCATTGTGCGATACAAAGACTCGTACGAAGATTTTCGCGATTGATCGAAATCTAACTTTTCAGCTATGGCTATAAATCTTAATTCTGCTTTCGAAATATTATATTCGCACATTTCGATTACGCTGTATGAAAAATAAGAAAAAAAAAAAACAAAAAAAAAACGAAATCGATCGACGCGTAGCGAACACAAAAGCTAGTTTTTTTGATAATAACCGATATGTGTATGTGTATGTGTGTGTATCATTATGCCGACGAACGAGCATTAATCGGTGGGGCACATCGAACACGAACTGGACTAAAGAAAATAACGTTGGATACGTTGTGTATCTTGCGATCGGTAAGCACAGTTTTTACGTCCTTTTAACACGAATGTCTCGTTTCGAGTTTCGCGACTACCAACCATGTTTTGCTTTTTTTTTTTCTTTTTTTTTTTTCTACATTCGAATTTCTCATGCTGTTCGATTCTCGCGATAGAAAGGATACGAACACGTTTGACAGTGAAACTCTCGCGAGTTTATATTTTTCCGTGGATTCGAGAGAGCCAAGAATAGAAATTACCATTCTCGATGTAGTGATCCAGTGTGAAAATTATCGATATCCTTTCATTTTGCAAAAAAAATAGAATTATTTTTCGTCGAGATATTTGTCGATAAGTTCCATTTTTTTAGAATGATCATAAATCAATAGACAGTCGAGTCGAGAGAGAGTGGAAATTATCGATAATCATTTTCAATGTAGCGTCAATTGCAAAAACACTTTGTTGAAGTTATATTTTTCATCCATAGATATTGTGCTCAGATTGTTTTTTTTTTTTTTTCAGATTAATTATCGATAACTTCTACTATTCTTGAGAATTTATCTGTCACCGCTTTATCATCACCGTCGTGAAAATATTTTTATAAATATTACCTTTTACTATGTTCAAAGCAAAAATTAAACCGATAAACACTCCGTTGGAGTTATTTCTTTCATCAATGGATAAGCTGGAGAATAATTATCGGTAATTTCCATTCTTGAGGATTATTCGTCACCAGTGGATAACCGCGTCGAGAGTGGGAATTATCGATAATCACTTTCAGCGCGAAAAAAAAAATATTCCGGAGAATTATTTTTGCATGGATGAATTCAAAGTTGAGAGCAAAAACACAATAGTCAAGTCGCAGTGAACGCGGCGAGATAAGCAAGCGGTTTTAACCGCCTCTCTCCCCCCTACCCCCCACTCTCAACGCAGTGTCCATTTGCAAAAGATACGTGTACGCTCTCGAGAACGACTCTTGAGAATTTCACTCTCAAATAGATTCACACTCAACAATGTTGATTGAACAGAATTCTGTCCCGTATATTTTCAGTCGAGTATATTCTGATATTGTGCGTGTGTTTTTAAAATCAAATAATGGAAGGTTTAGGTCGAACAACCTTTTTATATCTTTACGCTCGGATCGTTCGGATCTCGAACCATCCGTTCAAGATCCGACCCATTTAACCTCTCGAGCAAGAGGACCGAACTCGAGTCTCTTCCTTTTTTTTTTTTTTTTTCTTTTTTTTTTCTCTCCTTTCTTTCAAACGCGAAACCAAGAACCAAAATAAGCATTCAAAGAGCAAGAACCCTTCTTTCTCACGGGAGTATCGAGAACGGAAGTAACGTAATCCCGATAAAAAATCGATCGACCTATAAACCCTCGTACGAAAATTCGACTTGCAACCCATTCAAGATTTATATCGATGATATTTTTTTTTCGATCGACGAGGTGTACACTAGATTCGTTCACTTCGATTAAATAATACGGTAAAAGTTGAATCGACAGGAGGATTACGTTCTTAATATCGTTACACACTGTGCAAATTTCCCTCGACAGATCGAAAAATTCATGGAAATTTTTATTTTAATTTTTTCTTTTTTTCTCCTTTATTTTTTTCTATTCTACGTTTGACGAAATACGAAAGCTCAAAAATGATTCACTGGATCGTCAAAATTTAATGGTTATAAAATGAAATGGACAATCATTTTATCTTTATCGGTTTTAAAAATCGATGGATAAAACACGACGAACAACATTAAATAACAAACAACGAACTACAAAGGGAATTTATTTCTCTGTTTGGTTAGAATTAAATCAGGATCGAATTTCAATTCGAAATAAAAAATAAAAAAATACAAACATTCAAAAGAGACGTTCGATCAGAATTACATATCATTCCATAAATCCTCCTCCTTTTAAATCGTTCAACTTTTACCGCACATCAAAGAACAAGTAGAAGAAAAAGAAGAAGAAAAAGCAAGTACATATATAATATCCGCGCGAAGAAACTGAATGGGTCGGGTCGTATATGAAAGAATCGTGGTGGTTCTTAATTATTTCTCTAGACGAGATTACGAGAGAAGTAAAAGCAGAAAAGGACGGACCGCGAAGGTGGGTGCGAAGGTGTTGGTGCGACGTGTAGTGGTTATTGTTCTGGTTCTTGTACTGGTTCTTGGGGTCGTTAGAGGAGGTCGACGACCGGTTCGACAGGCCGGTGGCGTCACCAGGCCATCGCATTCCGCAGCAGAAATCCGCATCTGTAACACCCAACAACCCTTGCCCACGTCTCATCCTTTTTCTATCTTCATCAATCTAACTGTTCGATCCTGTGCTCGTTGTCTACTCGTTCTTCTTTCGGTTTTTATTTTTTTTTTTACATTATTTCATCATTTTGTTGCACAATTGCGATGCAACAACTAATAACGCGATAACGCATAGAAATAATAACAAGAACAAAAGAAATTCAAGGATTGCATGGAACACGGTTCTCTTGAAAAAAAGATTTACTTCGATATCCGTTGTGCATTGCAAAAATTCATCGCGTTTTCTATTTCTTTCTTTTTTTTCTTTTGCTTCTTTTTTTTTTGTTTCAACACGAGAAAAACTCGACAAATAGCTTTTTACGAGCGACACGTTATTCGATCGAACAGCAAAGAGAATAACAACGGGAATGTGAAGGTTGTATATTACATTTCGTTAAGAGTTTCAGTGTTGTGAATTTCTGTGACACCCAACAACTCTTGCCCACGTCTCATCTTATTTTTTTTCCCTTTCTTTTTTCTTTCTTTTTCTTTTTTTTTTCGCGATCACCTGTCATTATCCGCCTGAAGTTATTCACCTAACAACGATGAGTAATTCCCTCGTGATTCGAGAAATTTAATCAAATACATTTCCATTGTTTTTCGTACAAAAATGTGCGTCGATTCAAGCAATCTATAAAGGATGCGTTAATAGAGATTTAATAGATTTTCAATTAATTCGTCACGTTACTATATCTCTTTGCCGAATTGTTCGCGAAGCATAACCTCGAAAGCGAATCGAACGTTCTTACCTTTTCCACAAATAAATTCCGAATAGCCAATTCAAAAAAAAGTAAAAAAGAAAAGACAGAAAGAAAAAGTGACAAAAAGGAAGGAAACGAAAAAAAATAACATATATATGTATAAATCGAATTTGAGAACGAAATTTCGAAGAAGCCTTGCAAAAAAAATGAAACTTACACCGGAGAAAAGTCAATTACAGCTACAAGTTCGTGTCTCGTTCGTTTGTCGACGCTTTCTTCACTCCATTCACTCGTTTCTATCCACAATTCCTTACTTTTTCTTCGTTCGTTACTTTATCACGTAAATAATAACAAGTCTCGCGTTTTATACCAGAGAGAAGAGAGTGGTTAGCGAGAAACAAGCAATCGACGACGGTGGCGCCTCTTTTGTCGCTTCAATTGGAAAATGGTTCCGTGACGGACGAAAGCGAGGGAGATGCATACACGCGATTTCGAAACCTCGCTTTCCTTCTCGCATCCGCCCTGTGAACAAACGAGATGCCGGCGCTCGAGGGCGTCGTGGCAACTTTCCACATTTCCTCCCAATAGGGAAACGATTCTTTTGTCACGAGTTTCTCTCTGAAAAGATGAAACGTTGTCTTTCCGGATAGCCGAAAGAAGAAAAAAAAAAAAAAAAAAGAAGAAAAAAAATAAAAAGTCACTTGCGTCGAAATATTAGTTTATTAATTGATCGATATCACGTGACACTTCGAGCTCTTCGTCGCATTGCTTATTAATAGACTATATGGGCTTTCACGACATAGATGAATAATATTATATATTTTTCTTTCGGGATATTAATTCGTACTTGTTATATTACAAGCAATTTGGTAAGAAGAATAGTTAATAATTTGTTAATTTTACAAAATTTAATTAATCTCCACGAAATTTCGATAAATCATATGATTATGTAATTTTAATTTTTTTCTCATCTTTTCCTTCTTTATTATGTAAAATTAAACGTGGCCAAGATGTACGTTCTCATCGAACGTGTTAATTACTTAACTACCATTGTATTTTGAAATTGGATCAAGTGAATTTGCACGTGTCAATTTAGAATAGATATTTATGCTCGCCTCATCCAAAGTCGCACCAATATTATTGTACTTCAAACGTATCTCGAACATCTGCATACTTCGGGCACGAGATTTGGCACGTAACAAGCGTTTCCATCGCGAACATCTTGGCATAGCGGGCCTCTTCAAGAATGTTTAATTAATATTGCTTAGTTAAATTGCATCAAAGTTACACGTTGGCCGAGAAATCAAGAATTCAAAAACGTTTCAAAAATATAACAACGTTTCGAATTTATTCGAATCATACTTCGTTTCATTTATCCCTATCATCCTTACTTGTTCGATTCGAGAGAAGACGATTTTTCTCGATTTATTCTTGTTAATTTTTTTTTTCTTCTTCTTTTTTTACGATCGATCGAAAATTTTCTTCAACAAAATTAATCAATTGTAATTTATCCAAATGCAATTACATGTATTATTATTATTATTATTTTATTTTCACGATATTTTCGATTTAATCGTTCAACGCGTAAAAACATTTAAACTCGGAACAGTTACATAATTCTGGGTGTAACAAAAACGCTGCTAATCGGAGAAAAAACCCGTCGAATTATCGGGAAACGTTCGACGGGTATCGTGGATATCGAGAATGAGAGTGAAGAACGCTCGAAAAAACGACAAACAAAGACGTACATCGTACAAAACTACTGTATATAATTATTTCGAGTGAATTTGCTTACGCGTGCTAGCTGCAAACTACTAGAGCTGGCATCGCAACGATCTTTTTAACCGTAATCTCTGCCTCTGAATTTAATACAAGCCTCTCCCTACAATGCAAAAAGCTCGTCCAAGCGGAATTCGTTCCTCACGTAAAGAGAAACGAATGGCCGAATTTGGGCGGATCCGTTTCGCTTTTTTTGCTCTCCCTTCCCTTCCCGCCCCACCTCCCCACTCTCTTTTCAAATCCATCCGTCGCTCGTCGACCAGAAAATAACCGACCCGGTACCAAGATACGCGGACGCGTATCGAAAACAGTTTCTCTCTTGTTTGTTTAAATCGGTGACGATTAATCGGCTGGAGCCAAGTCAATTTTACGTTTCGGGCGAATCTCTCCCGTGTTTACCCATCGGTTCGAATTCATATAAAGCGTGGTCGCAAATATTTTCGCGCGAGAAACGCGGTCATAAACTTTATTGCTTGTATTTTCTCGACTGTTCGCCACGTTAATTTTCGATAATTAAAAGGGTTAAAAAATTTCGCCGATTCGTGTTTTATCGATTAAATCGACGAAGAGGAGAAGCAAAGATAGGCAAAGTGCTCTCACTCTGTTCCATCTCTTGTGCACATTATTACATTCTCAAGTTACGAAATATAAAGTTATTATGATAATTTTTTGTTCAAAGTAATAATAAAAGTAATTTACGAAACGGTCGAAATTATATATAAAAAGCGGATCGACCGTAATAATAAAGCTACGAAGAATAAATGTTACTTAAAGCGTTTCAATAATTAATATCATTTAAAGTAATTATTCTGGAATTTTTAACTGGTTACTTTTTCAACGGGATTAACACGCCCAACTCTGGCAGCACGCACACGTTGCTATTATTGGACAGTGACAAAGTTCGACGATGGAACGACGATGGTTTCACAGCCTGTTGACGTAAAGTCTCTCGATCAAACAAATTCATTATTCGATATAATTTAATCTACTGCCAATGTGAAATCATTCTATTTCTGCATCGACACGCGCATCATTGATTTTTATCGCCTCAATCCGATCCGTCTTCCGGTTTATCCCTCTTCTTTACCGACCGATTCACCGTATCGACGCTCGATGACAGGCTTTCCAGGCATGTCGACAAATTTTTTTTAATCATCTCGATCTTTATCACTGTCCTCGCTGCCAATAACAACAACGCGCGCGACAACAGGGGAAACGTGGAACAGAGAGCACTTCCAAATACGCGAATTCGTACGACGGATTCGTTCACGATTAAAGCGTTATCCTCATTTTCTCGAGAGGAAATCCGGGAGAGGTCGCTGACAAGAGAGATGGAATTCGATTTCCCAAAGCGTTCGATTCGTAAACAGTGATAGAGGACGGCATCGGTCAGACGGGTCGCCCTATTCGGCCAGTTTTGTCACTTCGAAACAAATCGGCGCTCTCTCTCTCCTTTCTCTCTATCGTTTCATTCATACCCTTTTCTTTCGCTCCGTCCCCTCCCCTTCTTATTACTTATTATTTTCCACCTTCCCCTCTCATACCATTCCAACTCTCTCCCTCTCGTGCATATTCGTATTCATCGACAAGCGCAACTCTTTCGCTCCACTTTCATAACGATCTTTTCAAGCAGAAACGCGCAAACTCAGTCGACACAGGCACGCAACGCACGCGAAGTAGTAAGTAAGTAAGTAAGTAAATAAGTAAGTAAGTAAGTAAGTACGGAAATAAGTAAGTAAATAAATAACTAAGTAAGTAAGGAAAGAAAAGGAAGCGAGGGGGAGGAATGAGAAGGGAGAAAGAGTAATAATAATAAATAAGAAAAAAAAATGAAAAGAAAGAAAAAAGAAGGGGTAAGAGAAAGATCGAGTCCCACTTTCACACTCAAAATTCTCTCTCTCTCTCTCTCTCTCTGGTTTTTCCCTTCTCATGCCGTATTTTTTTTCTTTTTCTCTCTTTTATATATATATATATATATCTAAGCTTCATATGATTTTTCAGGTCGATTTCTAATATAGAGTACCCTTTTGACGAGGGGTGAGCAGTGAGCTGTGGTTGTGTGGTGCTGTATGGTGGTAGCGGTGCCGGTGGTGTTCGAGGTGCTCTGGATGATGAGGGTCATTGGGTACGAGGTGGTCAGGGGTGTAGTCGTCTTGGCGGGTGTGGGGCGGGGGCCTCAGTGTACCTTGGACCGGGGGTAGAAGCCGCTTGTCGTAACGGGTCGACAGCAGCAGGTTGTCCAGGATCTCCTTGTCCGACTTGCCGTCCTCGAAGCTGCAACACAACGTATTGTAGCTAGCCCACATCGGATGATCACGATGATCACATATTTGTTTCCTTCCTTTCCTTTTTTCTCTCTCTTTCTTCCTCCCCTTTTTCCTCTCTCTCTCTCTCTCTCTCTTTCCTTCTTCTTCTTTCTCCTCTTCTCCTCTTC